TGAATATATAAGGTCTTAACAACTATGCACGACATAAGAACTGTTAGATAGCTGGAGCCTAGAGCCTCGAGCTAATGCACGAAATTCTCGAGGAGGGGTCAGACTTTGCTTATTGGCTAGAAATACAGGTATAAGAAGGCTACACTTGAAGCTACTTGTGTAATCGCAAGGAATAGGTAGGTCATGTGGGAGAATAGTTCGCAATCAGAAAGCCTTGCTCTTAGAATGAGGCCGCTTCGCATGGATAAAGTATAATAGAATATTCCGAAGTTATATGAACGGAACGATTCACTACATCCAGAGAGAACAGCATTGTCATTGGCTGTGAAACTTACCTAGTATACACCTAATCGTTCTTTTAACTAAGTCATTCATATGAACAGGAGGGGTACTAAGCCACCACTCCTCGAACATTTCATGATCACACAGCATAGGTTTATCATCACCTGCAGCCCGATTTGCAGCCCACCTTCACACCATACCAACCGCCGCTTTGCGCCCGGCTGTTTGGGTGGCAGCCTTTCCCACTCACCGAAAATGCCTGGCTCCCGGAACTGAGTAGACAGAATGAACCGCAGCAAGCACAGCCGCGCATTTGAACCGCTTGATGGTTCTTTTCTCTAGGGGAATTGCTCGTTGGCGCCCTCAGTTTTGGATGCTGACCCATTTACACTACGTTGTTGCTTATGGCGTGGTCTTCTTGTAGTAGATAAACCAACTCTGTTGATGTTCTAACTCAAGAGAATAAGCTTTAGAATACTTCTATATCAATACGACATTTACACATTTCCTTCATTAGACCTCATTCCAGCAATATCGAGAAGAATATCCTTTTTCTTTCAGCACAGAGATTACTTCCTTCTCTACACGTTTTCTGGTCACGGTGTGGTGATTCGTTGCTTCTGATATTTGTCCATATCTAACAACAAGAGTCAACCGTGAAGTATGGGCAGCGAGAAGTCTCAAATATGCGGCGTTGAAGGCTGCAACCTGAAACAAGGGTGGAAACAGGACCAGGTTAAGGGTAAAATATACTCTACGTTCTGTCGTGATCGTAGGTCGATTCTTTAATCATAGTTATACGAGGCTCCTCTGATATACCTTACAGACACCTGTGGAGTACGCTTCCAGAATCCCGCGAACTTGTTCTGTCGACGTCCAGCATTGTCAGGCATGCGGTTTTGCGATACTCGTACGTTCTTTTCAGGGCGCCTTCCAGAAAGGCTTACTCACAAGATTGTTTGGCTGATACAACGTATTTTTAGACCAAAGATGCAGTTCTTCCGGTTGTCTCGTGGAACGAACTCCTGGCCATAATCTATCTCGACCATGGTACTGCCCCGAGCGTGAGTAAATCAAGAACCCACAGATGGACATCGCTGATCCCTATAATCTATATCCAGACGTTTGCCGTATACACGACTGTGACAGAGCTGTTGCCAATGGCTCATCATTTTGTGTTGACCACCGACCATGCCGTAGACGCAATTGCCCCAACAACCGTTACTCCGTTACCATCCCTTATTGTCGCGATCACTCATGTCGAGGTTCAAATTGCGCCAACCTAGGTGACGGCACCTGTGCAGCTCATCCCTTATGCCGTATTGTGGCCTGTACAACTCTTGCGGAACCAGGTAGAGGCTACTGCGTTCAGCATATCTGCAGCTTTCCGAGATGCAATCGCCCAAAGGTGTCACAGAGAGTGTTTTGCCAGCACCACCTGTGCCAAGTGGAAGGGTGCGCAAAGTCGGCAGTGTATCAAGGTCGATGCAATGAGCATGAGCCATGCCATGTGAATGGTTGCACAAGCATAAGACAAAGAAACCCTCAAGGTGACGGCATGGAAGCGTGGTGTGACCTGCATGTACCATGTACGGCGAGGCCTTGTCAAAGTTATCAGTCTCACGCCAGCTTGTTTTGTCAGAGACACAAGTGCCAGATTGAGGCTTGCAAGATTGAGAAGTTACCAAACGAGGGTCAATTCTGCATAGAGCGTAAGTGTTGTCATGATACCTAAAGCGTCCTGAGTTTCTTTATAGAGCATAGGCAACTTGCTAGTACTATAGCTAACCAATATTGCAGACACTTGTCATCGTGCCGGCTGTTCAAATTCGATCACGGATGTGACTTCTCCAGCCATACGTCGCTTCTGTCGCTCACACGAGTGTCGAAATCGGAGCCCAGTCTGCTATTCTGAAACTTTCCGACTGGGAGGCTACTGCAGAGATCATAGCTGTCTTGCCTCGCAAGATGGGAGAGCTTGTATTGCTTCACGCGCCTCTATACGGTCAGACTATTGTGTTATGCACGAGTGTGCTAAAGAAGGCTGTCACGCTGAAGCTAAAGTAGCCGGAGGATATTGCAGCGTTCGAGACCACGCGTGTATTGAACCAGGCTGCAAAGAAATACGCCTGAAAGAGAACGACGACAGATTCGAGAGATGTGCTGACCATGAAGACACACAACGACAAAAGAACAATGAAGGGCAAAGAACGCAGGGATGGTGGTGGAGACACAGCACATGACATATATAAACTAGTTTAAAGTAGATGAAATTCAGTCATTCTAGAAAATTAACGTTCGACCATGGCTGCACGCCTGCCCTCGACCTG